TGCTCCCTCTGACGAGCAGAAACACAAACAATTATCTCCAGACCACTTCTGGTTACCCTGACCGATTCCACAGCACCAAACTCTGTTTTCACCCACCCTGAAACCACAAATGGATCAGCAAGGCAAGGGTCCTCTTTTTCCCAAAACTTCACTCCTATTGTCACAGACTCATCTTTATCCTGACCCTCGGTGCAAACCTCGGGTTCCGAGAACTTCACCACACCTACCACCTCCGATACCGTGCCCTCATTCACTTCCATATGTCCTTCTGTCTTCAACTCCCTTCGCTTACACTTTCTACCATTCCACTTTAACAAAACATCTCCCTTTTTTCCTGCCATTTTTAACTGAATCAAGCTCACCCTGTTCCTCCCTCTCTCTCTTAGTTCTCCCCTGCCGCCCTTTTATGACAGACAGACCAGCCTTCCAATCGCTATCTCCCATTCCCTATTTTCCGGGTTTGGCAGAGCAAGTGTTGAACTGTAACTCAGTAAAATCGCTGAAATTGTTTCATGTTGCATTCTCCTGGCATCCGCCAAACCCAGATTCGTCCAGTCGGACTGCCAGATGGTGAAGCGTGATTCATCACTCCAGAGAACGCGTTTCCACTGCTCCAGAATCCAATGGCGGCGAGCTTTATGCCACTCCAGCCGACCCTTGGCATTACGCATGGTGATCTTAGACTTGTGTGCTGCTGCTCGGCCATGGAAACCCATTTCATGAAGCTCCTGACTAACAGTTCTTGCGCTGACGTTGCTTCCAGAGGCAGTTTGGATCTCGGTAGTGAGTGTTGCAACCAAGGACAGACGATTTTCACTCGCTACGTGCTTCAGAACTCTGCAGTCCTGTTATGTGAGCTTTTGTGGCCTACCACTTCGTGATGAGCCGTTGTTGCTCCTAGATGTTTCCACTTCACAATAACAGCACTTACAGTCGACCAGGGCAGCTCTAGCAGGGCAGAAATTTTACAAACTGACCATCCTATTATGGTGCCATGTTGAAAGTCACTGAGCTCTTCAGTAAGGCCATTCTACTGCCAATGCTTGTCTATGGAGATTGCATGGCTGTGTGCCCGATTTTATACACGTCAGCAACGGGTGTGGCTGAAATAGCCGAATCCACTAATTTGAAGGGTGTCCACATACTTTTGTATATATAGTGTATGTTCCCTCTCACCTCTTCTACATGCTATTTGGACTCTTCAAGGTGAGACATTCACACACAATCATCATCATAATAAAAAACTGTCGTGTGTGTGTTGGTGTGTGTCAGTGTGCGTAGAACTCTATGCGGGCCAATGTGGAGCTCCATGAGGACAGTAAGGAGGGCTTACCTCCGGTGAAGGCCAAAGTCAAACTGGGCAAAGAGGACCTGTCCATAAAGGTAACACAAACACACCTGCCCATACGAAGACATGCAATCTTTGAGTGAAATGTATGATAAATGCTTGATAAATCATTTACTATAATATTTTACCCATTGTGTCAAATGTAGTGACATATCCTTTCCTCTCTCTCTCTCCTTTCTCTCTGTCCTCTCTCTCTCTCTCTCTCCCTCCATCACTATCTCTGTCAGATCAGTGATAGGGGTGGAGGTGTCCCTCTGAGGAAGATTGATCGGCTGTTTACCTACATGTACTCCACCGCTACCCCACACCCAGCCTAGAACCCTCCAACACTGTCCCACTGGTACACACCCAGCCTAGAACCCTCCAGCACTGTTCCACTGGTACACACCCAGCCTAGAACCCTCCAGCACTGTTCCACTGGTACACACCCAGCCTAGAACCCTCCAGCACTGTTCCACTGGTACACACCCAGCCTAGAACCCTCCAACACTGTCCCACTGGTACACACCCAGCCTAGAACCCTCCAGCACTGTCCCACTGGTACACACCCAGCCTAGAACCCTCCAGCACTGTCCCACTGGTACACACCCAGCCTAGAACCCTCCAGCACTGTCCCACTGGTACACACCCAGCCTAGAACCCTCCAGCACTGTCCCACTGGTACACACCCAGCCTAGAACCCTCCAACACTGTTCCACTGGTACACACCCAGCCTAGAACCCTCCAGCACTGTCCCACTGGTACACACCCAGCCTAGAACCCTCCAGCACTGTCCCACTGGTACACACCCAGCCTAGAACCCTCCAACACTGTTCCACTGGTACACACCCAGCCTAGAACCCTCCAGCACTGTCCCACTGGTACACACCCAGCCTAGAACCCTCCAACACTGTCCCACTGGTACACACCCAGCCTAGAACCCTCCAGCACTGTTCCACTGGTACACACCCAGCCTAGAACCCTCCAGCACTGTCCCACTGGTACACACCCAGCCTAGAACCCTCCAACACTGTTCCACTGGTACACACCCAGCCTAGAACCCTCCAGCACTGTCCCACTGGTACACACCCAGCCTAGAACCCTCCAACACTGTACCACTGGTACACACCCAGCCTAGAACCCTCCAACACTGTTCCACTGGTACACACCCAGCCTAGACCCTTCCAGCACTGTTCCACATATTTCTCTGGTATTCTGACTCATCCTGATGCCACTAACAGATGTGCTTGTAATTTCAAGGAACTCATTTTGAAGAAGTTGCCGTTCTCCCCCTCTTCTAGTCTGCTCTCTGTCTTTTCCCTCCCTCAATTTTCTCTTGTCCTCCGTCCAGGCAGGGTTCGGTTACGGTCTGCCCATCTCTTGGTTGTATGCCAGGTATTTTCAGATAGACCTGAAGCTCTACTCCATAGAAGGGGTGGGCACTGATGCAGTCATTTATCTGAAGGTAGGAGGAGCTTCTCTCACCACTAATCACTTCTGTTGTTTCTCTGTAATTTTCAGACTCTGATATACAGTGGGGAGAACAAGTATTTGATACACTGCCGATTTTGCAGGTTTTCCTACTTACAAAGCATGTAGAGGTCTGTAATTTTTATCATAGGTACACTTCAACTTTGAGAGACGGAATCTAAAACAAAAATCCAGAAAATCACATTGTATGATTTTTAAGTAATTAATTTGCATTTTATTGCATGACATAAGTATTTGATACATCAGAAAAGCAGAACTTAATATTTGGTACAGAAACCTTTGTTTGCAATTAGAGATCATACGTTTCCTGTAGGTCTTGACCAGGTTTGCACACACTGCAGCAGGGATTTTGGCCCACTCCTCCATACAGACCTCCAGATCCTTCAGGTTTCAGGGCTGTCGCTGGGCAATACGGACTTTCAGCTCCCTCCAAAGATTTTCTATTGGGTTCAGGTCTGGAGACTGGCTAGGCCACTCCAGGACCTTGAGATGCTTCTTACGGAGCCACTCCTTAGTTGCCCTGGCTGTGTGTTTCGGGTCATTGTCTTGCTGGAAGACCCAGCCACAACCCATCTTCAATGCTCTTACTGAGGGAAGGAGGTAGTTGGCCAAGATCTCGCGATACATGGCCCCATCCATCCTCACCTCAATACGGTGCAGTCGTCCTGTCCCCTTTGCAGAAAAGCATCCCCAAAGAATGATGTTTCCACCTCCATGCTTCACGGTTGGGATGGTGTTCTTGGGGTTGTACTCATCCTTCTTCTTCCTCCAAACACGGCGAGGGGAGTTTAGACCAAAAAGCTCTATTTTTGTCTCATCAGACCACATGACTTTCTCCCATTCCTCCTCTGGATCATCCAGATGGTCATTGGCAAACTTCAGACGGGCCTGGACATGCGCTGGCTTGAGCAGGGGGACCTTGCGTGCGCTGCAGGATTTTAATCCATGACGGCGTAGTGTGTTACTAATGGTTTTCTTTGAGACTGTGGTCCCAGCTCTCTTCAGGTCATTGACCAGGTCCTGCCGTGTAGTTCTGGGCTGATCCCTCACCTTCCTCATGATCATTGATGCCCCACGAGGTGAGATCTTGCATGGAGCCCCAGACTGAGGGTGATTGACCGTCATCTTGAACTTCTTCCATTTCCTAATAATTGCGCCAACAGTTGTTGCCTTCTCACCAAGCTGCTTGTCTATTGTCCTGTAGCCCATCCCAGCCTTGTGCAGGTCTACAATTTTATCCCTGATGTCCTTACACAGCTCTCTGGTCTTGGCCATTGTGGAGAGGTTGGAGTCTGTTTGATTGAGTGTGTGGACAGGTGTATTTTATACAGGTAACGAGTTCAAACAGGTGCAGTTAATACAGGTAATGAGTGGAGAACAGGAGGGCTTCTTAAAGAAAAACTAACAGGTCTGTGAGAGCCGGAATTCTTACTGGTTGGTAGGTGATCAAATACTTATGTCATGCAATAAAATGCAAATGAATTACTTAAAAATCATACAATGTGATTTTCTGGATTTTTGTTTTAGATTCCGTCTCTCACAGTTGAAGTGTACCTATGATAAAAATTACAGACCTCTACATGCTTTGTAAGTAGGAAAACCTTCAAAATCGGCAGTGTATCAAATACTTGTTCTCCCCACTGTACCTCTGCTCTGCAATACTATTCACTATCAACTTTCATAGCAACATCACTCCATCGCTATTCATTGGTTCTTCTGTTTTCCCTCCCCAATCCAGGCTTTGTCCAGTGAGTCGCTCGAGCGCCTGCCTGTCTTCAATAAATCGGCATGGCGACACTACCAGACCAGCCCAGAGGCCGACGATTGGAGCAAAGAGCCACGAGACACCAGCATATCAAATTACAAGGCCAACAGATAACTCTACCCTAAAACGTATGCCACCCGCCCACCTGCCTTTCACACTTAACTCTGCCCCTTCAAAAATCCCCCTCGCTAACAAATTCATAATGTGTCTAACTTCAGTTGCCGCGGCGCCACAACGCCCAGTCTGCAGTCGATTATTGTTGTTGACACATGGTGGACATTAAAACAGAACTTTAGCCCCACCCCCTGACTCCTCTGATTGGTTATTTTGGTTAGTTGTTCCTCTCTAGGAACTGTTCTAAGTGGGACTGCTGAGTTTGAGATGGATGAGATTGGCCTAAACAGCCCCTCTTCCCTTCTAGCCCCTTCTATATTCAGCTTCACTGACCACAGCACCCCCTTGTGGTTCTCTCCAGCCACTGCAGCTAGAGACGGTCTTTGGGCTGGGAAAGGCTTCTCTCTTCTGCTCTCTCTGTGTCCAGTCTTTTTGTTCAGTCCCAAGTAATAGAACCAGTGTTCCTCTCCCCTACAAAGCATCAGGCTGAGACAGAGGCTGAGGGTTTGGTTTCAGACCCGACTGAGAAACTGAGCTTTCCTTTCCACCCTTTGGGGACACAGTTTTGATTGGGCACAGATGGGATCAGTTTGGGCCGTTGTCATAGTTAACGATTGTCATGGTTACAGTGGCATGCTCTGACAGCAAGTAACAGAAAAGAGAGAGAGTTGCAGTAAATAACTATATGAACATTGTAAGAACACTAAGACATTTCAGGAACAAGGGGAACATGTATTATGCATTAAGTATGTTACATTTATATTACTGAAAGAATCAGGAACAAACATGTATTTGTATTATTCTGTTATTCTATTATCTCAGAAAGAGAGGGAGGCTTAGAACTCTGAGGAGTTAAGAAAAAGTATTGCATGACAAATGCCCTGATGGTAAGTTTCTTTCCAAGTCGATTCCATAAGGGAGAAAGTTAGGGGGAAAATATAGTGATGTTTTTTTATGTATTGTGACTTGTGGGTTTGAAAGAACATAGTGAAATAGGCCTTGATCTTTCCAGCAATACTGATCCTCCCTGTGTTCTCTGAGACAGTGTTTCCCCTACCATTACATAAACGGGGCAACCCACCTAGCTCTCTTACCCCCTGTCTAAAAACCTTTGCTATCAAGTCGTTTCTATTGAACAATTTGGTGTTTGCTGCCCCCTTGTGCCCCGTTGAGGATGTAATCTATGGGAAACACTGCTCTGAGCCTTGAATAAATGGCCCTTAAGAATTAAGAACGTTTACGGGTCTCTAATGTTAACCAAAGATGGGTCACCATGTGAGCCTTGTCTTTCCTGTAGCTTATAAACCTCACCAGCATTAAATGTGTTACTGTTGGCCCTCTCTGCTGCTTCCACAACCTGATACGACCATGCTAACGGTACATGTCTACGTTACGTAATGATGGCAACGTTACGTTAGCCTTGGGTATCCCCTGTGGCAACCCTCAACCTGGCAAAGCAATACGAACATTCTCACGCTAACCAAGGCTATCGCTAACAATGCCACACCGACTCAGCCTTGTATTTAAAGTAACTGTGCAGTGTTTCCAGATTGCTATGAAATATATATATAAAAAAACATTGTAAAGTGGTTATCCCACTGGCTATAAGGTGAATGCACCAATTTGTAAGTCGCTCTGGATAAGAGCGTCTGCTAAATGACGTAAATGTAAATGTAAATGACCTATAATTAATTACAATATGAGTTAAATAACTTTCCTTCCAAAAAAATTGTAATTCAATATGTTAAAAAGCAGCTTTTCCGTCCCCAGGACCAGTTCCGGGCATAAACTAGATAAGTGGTGACTAAGGGCACTAGGAAGTTGGTTGTGCATCAGCTATTTTTCTCTTGTTATGTCAGCCAGTAACCACATTTCCAGCCACAGTTTTTATGTGAATAAAGTCATACCGTATAAAAAAAACAAAAACACAACAGCTGTGATAGAAACAGGAAGTTTTGTTAAAATTTTATAAATGCCGACAGATAATTAGTTCGTTTGACACTGTGGGATTTTTTTTGTGTCTGTAAAATTAATTATGCAATAAATGGTGGTGGAAACAACTTTATGCACAAATATTGATATAACCATCGTATCGAAGTAAACTTGGGAGTCACGCGATGATATGTTGTGTGGTCCTCCCACTACAACTCGGAAAACCATGCGGTTTATTAGGCTACAGATTAAATAAATTATGATGAACTTCACAAGGTGGTGAAAGTTCACTGTGATCTTGATGCTCCTTTCCAATAAATATCGAGGGTCTTATTCTGGTGACATGACGATTGACTGCCGTTTGACAAATACAAATATTCTCCGTAATAATCTCATCGTGTAAACTAGGCTAGCCGCACTGTATCTGCCAGCTGTTGGCTAGAGCGCATGTGCCAAGTATCTTGTTTTGTATGCTTTATACAAAATAATCCAATGCAGCACGACAGGATCTTTATAAACGTAGCTCTTTATTAACTAGACATGACTGGCATGTTCATGTGTCTCCGGCCATGATCATCTTAAAAGATGACCTCACCACCTGGGTGGTCTTAACCAATCATAGCGCAGTATGATACCACGGTAGAACGCATCCAATTACAATTCAGTATGCTGATACATGAATATTACATCCCCCTTCTTTAAAAAAAAGAAGAAGAAAAATGTACATATTTTAAAAACATATTTTGAAAACATGCTCTGTAGTTTGAACTCGAGGTGAGTAACCATCTATACTGCACCAACTGCATCAACATAACAGACAAACAATGATTCAGCATACTGTTACTTTTAGAACTAATATTTCTCAGCAACTCAGCTTTTCACTGTAGCAATGACATCTCAACATATCAAACAAATACAATACCAAAGCATTTCAAGTTAACTTTTCAATAACAAGTTTACAGTCCGGAACTCTTTTAGGGCAGCGATCCGCCTGCACCCCGTTGACATTTCACAGGTCTAGGACAGCTCTAGGCTTGACCTCTCTTCCTGACCTTGTGTGATATGAAGCTGAGCATGCTTCTGTGTCACTCAACAGTTATTGTGGTGTTGCAGGTAAGTATGGTGTATGTTGTGTTGTGTCTTGTGTTTAGTCCATCCCGTTCTCTTTCAGGGGAACAGTTCATCTCGTCAGTGTGTTGTTCTTTTGTGTTCTGTAGGTGACGACGATTGCTGCGGTACACCACTCCTTCTGCGGTGCGAACGTGATATGAACGTTCAGTGACGACTGATGGCTTCCAGTAGCCATGCTCCTGGATTCTAACTGACTCCGTCGTTCAGTGGTGGCAGTGGTCTAGCTGACCTGTCGTAGCATCGCTTTTGGAGTTGTTGTCTCTGTGCACGTTTTGCAAAATGATTCAATTTTCCATATTTAGTACACTGTTTGCCTTTAGCTGGGCAATTTCCCTGTTCGCCATGCACTTTGTATCCACAATATCCACATGTTTTGGGGCGTTTGGAGTCTGTGTCGCTCTGTTTTGGAGTTCTGTCTTTCTCCGTTCTTTGACATGCTCTGTCTGCGTCCACTGCTTGTTCACGTGGTGCCGCCAGAAATGGTTTTCATCTGAACCTGTGTTAGCTCGTGAGATCTGGCTATGTCGATAGCTTTGTCAACCGTTAGCTCAGACCCAACATTCAAAAGTTTCTCTCTCACTCGCGGTGAGTGTATTCCAAATACAATACTGTTAGAAATTTCATAATTCAAATCTGGTATTGGAATAAGAGAAAACATAATCAAGAGATATTCAATCCAAGCTAAATTTATTATATGCAAAATGTATGTATGATAAGTATGTTGGTTTGTATACGGGCTCACTGAAATACCACGCAGGGCAGACAGAGAACTAATCCATTGTTACAGGTTCTTCTTCAAATACTCTGACAGTTTTTAGTTCCCGCTCTCTGCTGGCCAATCAGAGTAGAAACTGAGCGTGGTTTAGACTTACTCAGCCAATCCGTTGGCGCACCGGCTGGTCCCAGCCTCTTGGCGCATCCCTGTTGCCAGGCATACGTTTTTATCATAACAACCTGTAGAGTCATCACTTTTTGCAGTACCCATGTCCTTGGACGGTTCACAGATCACAAAGAAGCAGTGTAGTCTCTGTGAGAAATACAAGTCTTATCTATAAGAAATACACGTTTTATCTCATCCTAGCCCCTAACGTTCCTCACATGAATCACAGCCTGTTATGTGAAACAATTCATATCAGTACAGTATAAACTTTTTATGCTTTAATCATTAATGCATTCTTTGTAAGTTAGTCATCCCATCCAGTTATGAGAAAATAGAACCCCACAATACGGTCCCTGACCATCTCATCCTTGTTTGCATAATCACAGTCTTTCACAAGCAGACGCAGCTCAGTGACAAACTGTTCAAACGATTCGCTAGCGCCTTGTATTTTCTCATGGAATTTGTACCTAGCGAAAATTGTATTGGTCTTTTGCACAACATATGCTTCAAAACGATCGTAGTATGTTTTCAGTACCTTTGATACAGCCTCGGTAAGTGTCCATGTGTTGTAAATGTCTCTCCCTTTTTCACCGATCCAGAGGAGCAGATAGCTGCACTTTTCCTCTTCCTCGCTTTCCTTCAGAGGACCGGTGAACATTAGCTCCACATACTGTTTGAACTTACGCCATGCATCGGGTAGATTTGTAGACCCCCAATCCATTCGAGGTGAAGGAACTCCAGCAAAATCCATATTTTAGTCCTTTTACTCTGACACCATGTCTTGTTTTGTATGCCTTATGCAAAATAATAAAATGCAGCACGACAGGATCTTTATATACGTATCTCTTTATTAGCTAGATATAACTGCCGTGTTAATTTATCTCCGGCCATGATCATCTTGAAGAATGACCTCACCACCTGGGTGGTCTTAACCAATCATACGACAGTAGAATGCAGGACATTATATATAATTCAGTATGCTGACACATGAATATTACACCAAGACCAGAGTAGGCACATTTGCTATGTAACGGAACCGTTTATGTGACAAACCTAGCGGTAGAGTTGAAAATGCGATGGCAACACATTGAACTTTAGATTTGTATTCGGTACATGAAAACTTAAGTGAAAAAGTACATTTTGTGTGCACTACATCACCACACACTGATTTTTATCTGTAACAAGTACTTTGGTGGAAACATGCGCATATTTTCTTTATGCAGATTTTAGAATATTCGTATGAAAATCTGTCGCCAATTGGATGGAAACCTAGCAACTGACAGTCACTCAATTAGCCATGTCAGCTAACAATTCTTAGCTTGGTAGTTAGTAATAATAATAATAATATGCCATTTAGCAGACGCTTTTATCCAAAGCGACTTACAGTCATGTGCGCATACATTTTTATGTATGGGTGGTCCCGGGGATCGAACCCACTACCTTAGTCTTGCCACCTATCTAACTTATAGTAATCATAGCCCAATACCAACCGTGCCCAGGGGCCCTGACCTCCAGGGGGCCCCCATTGATTTTGTTAGTGATTCTCAGTCAGATATCATATGAACATGGCATAAGTCATTACAAAATGTGTAGAATTGCAGGAAATTAGCTGTAAAACTGCAAAAATGGTCTCTCTGCCCCATGGCAAAATGAGTAGAATTACATGAAATCTGTTATTAAATTGCAACACCTTCTCTCCGCCCATATCAAAATGTGTAGAATTGCAGGAAATTAACTTTTAAACATGAATTTTTCTCCCCACTGTCGAAAGGGAGGCCACTAAAATGTTTTGCTGTGAGGTGGGGGCCCCCCCAACCAAATCTATTTTAGCCCCTAATCTATGTTCTTCAATGATGTAAGGGATTGGATGAAATTAGTATTTTCATCGAAGTGTCAAGAAGAAATTCTGTGGTGTTGTAGTGGCATAACAAAGCGGCCATTTTGAAATTCCATTGTTTGTGCAGGAGTTAAAGAGCGACTGAACACGCCGATTTGCACATGTTTTTTTCTGTTGCTCATTAGAATAAAGAGATTTCAGTCTTGGAGGTATGTTTCCTGACCAATTCTGTGTTTGGTTAATGATGTTTGTCCCCCATGAGACACTGTAGACGCGGAAGCCTATTTCACGTCCTCTAAATCCCTAGAATGAATCTAAAATAACTCAAGAAATCTGTAATACATTTTTACGTTTTTGCCGAGGATGTTTTAGTTGCACAGTTTTACATCTAAGGTGTTTAGTGCAGTATTATTCAAGTAAATACATTTGTGACGTGTTGTCTTATGTAAACAAAGTCGGAGCAGCGGAGCACGTCTGTCTCACTGTCTATCTATGCTATTGGATAGCGAGCGATCACCACAGCTGTTCACCCCATGTTAGTGGGACATTGTCAAATCGAAACCCAACCTTTATTTAACCATTGTGACATACGGATGTTCCAAACTCAGTTTTAGACGAGACTGTCTTTATGACCAAAATGATACTATTTACACTTTGTAGTCAATTTTGACACTAGAATAACTGTTTCTGACTCATATCGATTCCACATAGGCCGTTTTCAAAGGGATTCATTGCTTTTTAAAGGCAATTGCTCTTTAATGGCGGTTTAGGAAACAAATATCATGTATTTCTGGAACAGGTATTATTTTGCATGGGAACAGGGTTGCTTTTTGATCATACATTTTTTACTTCCATTTTTCAGTCTTTTTATTTTAGTGTAACTGGATGATGATTATTTCGGAGAGGGCTCTTTCCTCCCTCTCTTGTTTTAAAAGGTCACAGGCTATATGTACACTTCGTCTTCATGTGAGGATTACATTTCATACAGGACTGATCAATAGTATCAATAGTCACAGTTAACTCTGAGATAAGATTTGCCTGTTTGTTTGCGTTTCTAGCTATCCTCATTTGCACCTAAAATAAGTTAGCTGTAGGGAAGGTATTAGTGGCTTATATAGTATCTACAGTATATACAGTATGGTAATGTATGAGCCGGCTTGGAGTATTTTGTATTTGTATTTATTATGGATCTCCATTACTTCCTGCCAAGGCATCAGCTACTCTTCCTGTGGTTTATTATGGATCCCCATTACTTCCTGCCAAGGCAGCAGCTACTCTTCCTGGGGTTTATTATGGTTCCCCATTACGTCCTGCCAAGGCAGCAGCTACTCTTCCTGGGGTTTATTATGGATCCCCATTACTTCCTGCCAAGGCAGCACTACTCTTCCTGGGGTTTATTATGGATCCCCATTACTTCCTGCAAAGGCAGCAGCTACTCTTCCTGGGGTTTATTATGGATCCCTATTACTTCCTGCCAAGGCAGCAGCTACTCTTCCTGGGGTTTATTATGGATCCCCATTACTTCCTGCCAAGGCAGCAGCTACTCTTCCTGGGGTTTATTATGGATCCCCATTACTTCCTGCCAAGGCAGTAGCTACTCTTCCTGGGGTTTATTATGGATCCCCATTACTTCCTTCCAATACAGCAGCTACTCTTCCTGGGGTCCAGCAAAATTAAGGCAGTTATACCATTTAAAAAAAAACATTACACTACATTCATAACAGATTTCACAGCACACTAAGCGTGTGCCCTCAGGCCCCTACTCCACTACCACATATCTGCAACACAAAATCCATGTGTACGTGTGTGTATAGTGCGCATGTTATCATGTGTGTGTATGAGTGATTTCCCTTCTGTATCCCTACTGTATCTCTGATGTAAGGAGATGACTGAGCACTTGGCATGCATGACCTCCTCCCAGTAGAGAAAGATCATGCATACGTACGCTGTCACAAAACAAACTTTAACTTTTATATGTATACATGGTACAGTATTGGCTAGCTAATACACACAGTCACATACAACAACATAGAGGTATTCAGAATGAGCTCAAGCTTGCAATACCTACTGTAATACCTACTGTAAATTATCCAAACCTACAATAAGAAGAAGGAAAACAACTGCCACTGTTCTTCTCTGGTCTGCTCTGCTCTGCTCTGCTCTGGTCTGCTCTGGTCTGTTCTGCTCTGGTCTGTTCTGCTCTGGTCTGTTCTGCTCTGTTCTGCTCTGGTCTGTTCTTCTCTGCTCTGTTCTGTTCTGTGCAGCGAGTCTGTATCTGATGAAAAAGAGAGATTGAGAGGAAACAATCACCAAGCTGCTTCTCTTTCAATGATTTTCATTTTCTATTTATTTACATATTAAGCCATTAGAAAATAAGACAATACAAACAGAAACAGACTTCCCAAGTTTGTACATACATTGCAGGGTTACATACGTTACATACAGGACAAGAACGTCTCCAAGGCGGATCAGGAGGTGTGTGGTAGCAAGTGGTTTCAGGTGCTCTCATGTGGCTTTCCGCTGTGGAACAGTTGTGTCATAGCGAGAGACATCGAGTTGAAGAGAGTTCACAGTTCTGTGTGGTGTTGTGACTAGCTATGCCAGAGACCATGATGATTCTACCACGGCTGAGGTGAACAAGGCAATCCACAAAAGCCCGGTACTGGTTTTTGTTCCAGCCAAGTTGTAACACACAACCTGATGCCATGGCCATGCCAGCCCTTTGTGGATAACACTGGCCATCTCTGGACTACAACCTTTGTTCTCTGGTCTCTAAGGAAGTCCCCTGAATAAGCTCAGTCACAATTGTACATTCTAAACGCTACAGAATTGATAGATCAGTTTCTCTAGTTGATTGCACTGTTTACAAGAGATGGGCCGGGCAGGCGGCCATATTGGGAAAGGGGGGGGGACAAACCTCCCTGATACTGAAGTTCCAAGTGTTCTGTTAATTGTGCAATCACCAATCAGGTACTGCGTTCCATGGTGTTACCATTGTTGAAATTTAAATTTTAAATGTTAATCATTTAGCAGACGTTCTTATCCAGGGAAATTAGGGTTAAGTGCCTTGCTCAATGGCACATCAACAGATTTTTCACCTAGTCAGCTCGAGGATTCGAACCAGCTACGGGCCCAATGCTCTTAACTGCTAGGCTACCTGCCACCCCCGCCCCCCATTTTTTTTTACATCCATTAATTTATGCAGTCCCTATGGCAAATAATCTGGTACAGAATAATTAGTGATTCAGTGGGGTGTATCTCAATAGCCTAAAGTGGCCTTCTCTCCTCGTCTCCCAGGAAGGGTGCAGTTACACTACTACTCCTATAGAGGGAAGTGTTTCTCTCTGTTAAGTCTCCACTAGGGCACAGTCAGTCAGCATGCACCATGTTACAGAATGATGCAGGTAGAAACAGAATGCATAGGGGAGACAGTCTATTATCTTATTCTATAGGATAGAGAACTGTGTCTGTTTGTCTATGAATTCAGTCTCTATCTGGAGAGCTCTGTGACAGTGTAGGCCTGCTCACTGAATATAACACAGCAAAAAATCACACTGCAAAAGATCGCTGTAAAATACCTTCTATCATGTTTACCCTAGTTGAGATAAAAAAACTAAAAGAAAGGATGGAGAAAAGGGAGAACGTAAAACTATGGAGTGATATGATCAACAGGCACTATTTTATTTACCGCCTCTGTCAGACCTGAGCAATCGAAAACAGAGCAGTCGCATCATCGTCTCTACACTCCCATCTGCTTCGTTGCCCAGGCAACAGAGACTGTGATGGCTTCTTTGTGCTACAGCACTAGACTACATTTCCCATGACCCCCTTCTGTCTTGCATATCTACAACTTCCTGGTAGATACAGTTTCAGCATCCAGTCATTGCTGCCAGTGTGTGGAAGAAGATGTCAGATTGTGTGTGTGTGTGTGTGGTGGGGGGTGACAACTGGGAACTCTGAAAAAAACGAGGTCAAATCATGACGTCAGTGATCTTCATGTCGGAAAGTTGGAGTTCTAGAAAGATGTCAGAGTTTCCAACTTGGAATTTCGAGTTACATGCTGACCGTCGCGTGCGCGCGTGTTGCAAAATAAACGTACACATACATGTTATTCAATCATTGCGCGCGTCAACGAGCGTCTACGTAGCCAGGCGCTAAAATATAACTTGGTTCTATTTGTGACGCTTGACGCGCTCCAAGTCCTGCCTCTCTCATGTCCTCATTGGTTTTTAGGAGCATATACCAACGTGGGTGATTGAAAGATGAACTGAGGTCCACACTCCAGTCCAGTTGGTTGTGGTAATGCACCTTAAAGTTGGTTGCAAACCGCCATATAAAGTCCAAAGATGAAGAAGAAGCCTGACGGAGGAGAGATTACTAGAAACAAACTCGGTTTACCCTTTTATCTGTGGATTAATTGTCTGAGTAGAGGACCTTGTGCTTTTCAGGTAGAATAACAACCCAATGTTTATATCCCAGGACAAATTTGCTAGCAACAGCAAGCTAGCTAGCTAAATTGCTATAAATGTTTAATGCTTTTCGACCTGTCCCCAAATGAATATAGTTGGTTCAGAGTTCGTTTTGATATTTCAACCTGCGTGTCCTGATCGCGTCTGGTGTCGGTGGACAAAATCAACACGCGCACGGTCTGGTCAGCATGTAAGACGACCGTTCAAAAACGATTTTCCCAGTCGGAGCTGGTTTTTTCCCCCCACGTTTTTTTCTGAGTTGTCTTGAATGTACTAAAGTCAGAAGTCAGAGATTTCCGAGTTCCCAGTTGTTTTGAACACGGCATTGTGTTTCACACTTCCCATTCTCATTTTCCTCACTCATGCTACTGAAGGAGGCTGAGGCTCCTTTGTGTGAGGAGTGGGAGACTGGCCTGGGGTGAGACCAGCGAGAGGGAGGAGATGGGGAACGGGATGGAGACAGTTGCCGGGGTGGACTGTTGCTAGGCGACCCGCGAGGTGACAGAGCGTAGGAGATCATCCGACCACTACGCTCACTAAACACCTGTTTCTGTTAGGGAGAGAGAGGGGAGAGAGGGAGATGGTAGAGGGATAGAGAGAGAGAGAGAGATAGGAAAGAGAGGGCGAAAGGAGAGTGATGGAAAGAGAGGGAGGGGGAGAGTGGAGAGAGAATAGGGTAGAGGGATGGAGAGAGAGAGAGAGAGCGGAGAGGGATGGAGAGAGAGGGAGGGGGGAGAGAGAAGAGAGAGGATAGGGTGGAGAGAGAGAGCGAGAGAGACAGAGAGCAGAGAGGGATGGAGAGAGAGGGAGGGGGAGAGAGACCAGTGTGTGAGAGTACTTTCACTTCAAAGTCTAGTTGGAGGTGCACAGTTTAGTTCATAGATTAGATTTGTGAACAAAGAGCGGAGCATTAGAGACAGGCCTGACTTACCCATGTTCCATCTGGGCCGAACAGTTCCAGGAAGTTACCAATGAACTCCCGTGATTTCTCCTCCCACTTCTGTATGAGGTCATGGCTCTTCTCCTCCACACGGTAGACAAAGTGTTTACTCTTCTCCTCCACCGTCTTCACCTTCTCCTTCATACGGTCCACCTGGTTCTGCAGGCGGTACTTCTTCTCCTGAGGAAGGTTGGAGGAAGGTTCGATGGAGGTTGGAGGGAGAGAGGTTGGAGGGAGGTTGGGAGAAGTTGGAGGAATGTGGGAGGGAGGTTGGAGGGAGGATGGAGGAACATTGAAGGAAGGTTGGAAGAAAGTTGGAGGGAGGTTGGAGGAAAGTTGAAGGAATGTTGGAGGGAGGAAGGGAGGAAGGGAGGTTGGAGGAATGTTGGAGAGAGGGAGGGAGTTGAGGGGAGGTTGGAGGACGGTTGGAGGAATGTTGGAGGGAGGTTGGAGGGAGGAAGGAAGGGAGGTTGGAGGAAGGTTGGAGAGAGGGAGGGAGTTGAGGGGAGGTTGGAGGACGGTTGGAGGAATGTTGGAGGGAGCTGAGTTCCTTGGCGTTACCATCGTTGAAATGTAACATCCATTCATTTATGCAGTCGCTATGGCAAGGGGTGCATCTCAATAGTCGAACGGACTCTCCACAGTGATTTCATGCTTTCCAAAAATTCAGCCGCACAAAAGTACGTAGAATTACGTAGAGAGCTACGCAAACTAAGCTCCGTCGGATCTGTTGTGTAGACTGTGTGGAGCCCTTCAAGTGGCCTTCTCTCCTTGTCTCCCAGGAAGGATGCAGTCACACTACTACTCCTCTAGAGGACAGTGTTTCTCTCTGTTAAGTCTCCACTAGGGCACAGTCAGTCAGCATGCACCATGTTACAGAATGATGCAGGTAGAAACAGAATGCATAGGGCAGACACAGTCTATTATCTTATTCTATAGGATAGAGAACTGTGTCTGTTTGTCTATGAATTCAGTCTCTATCTGGAGAGCTCTGTGACAGTGTAGGCCTGCTCACTGAATATAACACAGCAAAAAATCACACTGCAAAAGATCGCTGTGAAATACCTTCTATCATGTTTACCCTAGTTGAGATAAAAAACTAAAAGAAAGGATGGAGAAAAGGGAGAACGTAAAACTATGGAGTGATATGATCAACAGGTTGGAGGGAAGTTGGAGGGAGGGAGGTGGGGGGGAGGTTGGAGGGAGGTTGGGGGGAGGTTGGAGGAAGGTTGGATGGAGGTTGGAGGAATGTTGTAGGAATGTTGGAGTGAGGTTGTAGGAAGGTTGTAGGAAGGTTGGAGGAATGTTGGAGGGAGGTTGGAGGAAGGTTGAAGGAATGTTGCTTCCTTCATACGGTCCACCTGGTTCTGCAGGCGGTACTTCTTCTCCTGAGGAAGGTTAGAGGGAGGTTGGAGGGAGGGAAGTTGAAGGGAGGTTGGAGGGAGAGAGGTTGGGGGAAGTTGGAGGGAGGTTGGAGGAAGGTTGGAAGGAGGTTGGAGGAAGGTTGGCTGTATTGTATGTCTGTGTGTTTTTTGAAAGTCATCCGTTATGTTCCCAGTGTACACAGACACACATACGCACAAAAGCGACAGTTCATTTCAGGGTAGACACCACACAGATACACTTACGTTGATGAAGCTGACGTTGAGCTCTTTAGCGGTGTAGCCTCGCTGTAGGTTGCGTCTTGCGTAGAGGTCGTAGTCTCGTACGATACGAGTGATCAGGTCAGAGGTCGAGATACCCTCCGTCCGCTGGGTCGGCACGAACATGCCTGGAAACACAAACACACATAACAAACATACATTATAAATAAACACACACACAGGAACACATACACTGATCGTTAGCCTCGTGGAGAATCAGCCTTCCCTAATCGGAAAGCCTGGTGAAGTCAATGGCAGAAAGTAGCTAGAAAGGGGAGGAAACCCGGTGTAAATAAGTGACGCCTCGCAACACGTCAAACCAATCAAATGCCTTGCTTGCTTGGGCGGAGAGTGTTGAAGCCATACAGGCATATGTTCAAGCAGAGGAGTTGTAATGTCTTCATCGACTACAGCACACTTCTGGAAAAACACAATCACCTTTTTCCTCCTGGTTTTCTTCTATATTCTGCAATATTGCAAACTAGCATAACGGTACGCAACAACTCTCTGCAGTCGGAAAACAGTGACGAACATAACACGCAGCACCCCTCCTACGGGCATGTGGGGAGGGTTCTTGAGATGTAACATCTAATAAAATTGTAGCGGACCATTCTAGCCATTTCGGCTAATACAAAATTCTCCAAAGGAGGCGTGACAACAATGTGATTTCAAGGTATGGCTACGCAATACTTAACTGATTGTGAATACAGTTTAGACACACACACACACACACATACACACACATACACACACACACCTGCCTCCTTGATGTGTTTGTAGACGTCCTCAGTTCCTGCTGAGGAGTATGGGATATCGTCATGAGCCACAAAATCGATCTGAGAAACAATCAGAACAGAATAAGACAAGAATCACAGAACAGGAAGACAAGAATCACAGAACAGGAAGACAAGAATCACAGAACAGGAAGACAAGAATCACAGAACAGGAAGACAAGAATCACAGAACAGGAAGACAAGAATCACAGAACAGGAAGACAAGAATCACAGAACAGGAAGACAAGAATCACAGAACAGGAAGACAAGAATCACAGAACAGGAAGACAAGAATCACAGAACAGGAAGACAGAAAAAGAAAGCCCATGCAGATAAACTGACACCTAGAAAAGAGACATGCATGCTAGCACATTAGTCTTTACATACACAAGTCAGAGAGCGCTGAATTAACAGGTGGGAACAGCCAGACACACCTGGTGTTTCTCCAGGAAGTCCTGTGTGAGCGTCCATGGTGCGTCTCGGACCACCTCGTCGACATAGCGACAGTGTCTCAGAGCCTCGTACCTCTCCTCCTCTGTCATCACTGTGAAACCCTTGTACTTGTGTGTCAGCTCATCACTGCACACTGACACACACACGCGCACACACACACACACACAAAGTCACAAAGGTACACAAAAACAGATAGCAAAACATATATGAGTTATTCATACTGAGTCATTATATCCACATGTTTATAAATGTATGTCTGTACATATCTGTGTGTGTGTGTGTGTACATACCTCCCACTATGAGGTATGCGTTGGGGAAGAGGTTCTTGGCCTGCATCAGGGCTCTGGCATGGCCGGAGTGGAACAGATCAAATATTCCATCTGCATATACACGCACTGGACGGTCCACTGGAGAGAACACGTACAGAGTTTACATCTAGAGGACACACCAGAGTTTACATCTAGAGGACACACACAGAGTTTACATCTAGAGGACACACACAGAGTTTACATCTAGAGGACACACACAGAGTTTACATCTAGAGGACACACACAGAGTTTACATCTAGAGGACACACACAGAGTTTACATCTAGAGGACACACACAGAGTTTACATCTAGAGGACACACACAGAGTTTACATCTAGAGGACACACAGAGTTTACATCTAGAGGACACACACAGAGTTTACATCTAGAGGACACACACAGAGTTTACATCTAGAGGACACACACAGAGTTTACATCTAGAGGACACACACAGAGTTTACATCTAGAGGACACACACAGAGTTTACATGTAGAGGACACACACAGAGTTTACATCTAGAGGACACACACAGAGTTTACATCTAGAGGACACACACAGAGTTTACATCTAGAGGACACACACAGAGTTTACATCTAGAGGACACACACAGAGTTTACATCTAGAGGACACACACAGAGTTTACATCTAGAGGACACACACAGAGTTTACATCTAGAGGACACACACAGAGTTTACATCTAGAGGACACACAGAGTTTACATCTAGAGGACACACACAGAGTTTACATCTAGAGGACACACACAGAGTTTACATCTAGAGGACACACACAGAGTTTACATCTAGAGGACACACACAGAGTTTACATCTAGAGGACACACACAGAGTTTACATCTAGAGGACACACACAGAGTTTACATCTAGAGGACACACACAGAGTTTACATCTAGAGGACACACACAGAGTTTACATCTAGAGGACACACACAGAGTTTACATCTAGAGGACACACACAGAGTTTACATCTAGAGGACACACACAGAGTTTACATCTAGAGGACACACACAGAGTTTACATCTAGAGGACACACACAGAGTTTACATCTAGAGGACACACAGAGTTTACATCTAGAGGACACAGAGTTTACATCTAGAGGACACACAGAGTTTACATCTAGAGGACACACACAGAGTTTACATCTAATCTAGAGGACACACACAGAGTTTACATCTAGAGGACACACACAGAGTTTACATCTAGAGGACACACACAGAGTTTACATCTAGAGGACACACATATAGTTTACATCTAGAGGACACACACAGAGTTTACATCTAGAGGACACACACAGAGTTTATATCTAGAGGACACACACAGAGTTTACATCTAGAGGACACACACAGAGTTTACATCTAGAGGACTCACACAGAGTTTACATCTAGAGGACTCACACAGAGTTTACATCTAGAGGACACACACAGAGTTTACATCTAGAGGACACACAGAGTTTACATCTAGAGGACACACACAGAGTTTACATCTAGAGGACACACACAGAGTTTACATCTAGAGGACACACACAGAGTTTACATCTAGAGGACACACACAGAGTTTACATCTAGAGGACACACACAGAGTTTACATCTAGCACATATATAACACCATCAGAGGAGAGGAGAGAGGAGGAGGAGAAAGTGAGTGAATGTGAGGAGGATGTGGAAAAGAAGAAGGGATGGTTATGAGTGAAAATACTGAGGAGAGGATGAAGAATGAGGATGAGAGGAGGAATAGTGATAAAAGAGGGATGGAGCTCGGAACAGAGGAAGAGAGGAGGTATACTTGGGGTCCCTCTGCGGGCCTGAGCGATGGAGAGTTTCTCATGAGGGGCGCGGCACTCACAGCTGGTGTCCTTTGCAAAAATAGCAGGCTCAGTCAGCATCTGAGAGAGAGAGAGAGAGAGAGAGAGAGAGAGAGAGAGAGAGAGAGAGAGAACTTTTGTGAGTGTAATGTTTACTGTAATTTTTTTAATTGATTCTTTCACTTTTGTTTATCCATTTCACTTGCTTTGGCATTGTAAACATATGTTTCCCATGCAATTAAAGCCCTTTGAATTGAATTGAATTGAATTGAGAGAGAGTGCGAGCGAGCGAGAGAGAGAAAGAGAGAAAGAGAGATTTAACTGTTAGTCACTTTATTAGTTCAGCGTTATAGCGCTAACATCAGCATATTAAAACAGCACTTGCATCAAATTCACATCTACAAAACCATTTGACTCGTCTCAACAAACCACAAATGGTTTGGATTTACAGAGGAACCACATGATAGATGAAAAGAGTGGCAAAGAGGAGAAGAAAAGAAGGGAGAGAAAATATGTGATAAACCTGAAAAGCAAAAGAGACAGAAAGAATCAAATAGAATTTGAGAGAGAGATGGAGAGAGGGATGAGAGAGAGACAGAGAGCGGGATGGGAGATCCAGAGAGGGACGGGAGAGAGGGATGGGAGATCCAGAGAGGGACGGGAGAGAGGGACGGGAGATCCAGAGAGGGACGGGAGATCCAGAGAGGGACGGGAGAGAGGGACGGGAGATCCAGAGAGGGACGGGAGAGAGGGACGGGAGATCCAGAGAGGGATGGGAGATCCAGAGAGGGACGGGAGAGAGGGACGGAGGAGGACGGGAGATCCAGAGAGGGACGGGAGATCCAGAGAGGGACGGGAGAGAGGGACGGGAGATCCAGAGAGGGACGGGAGATCCAGAGAAGGACGGGAGATACCGAGAGGAACGGGAGATCCAGAGGGACGGGAGAGAGGGACGGGAGATCCAGAGAGGGACGGGAGATCCAGAGAGGGACGGGAGATCCAGAGAGGAATGGGAGAGAGGGACGGGAGATCCAGAGAGGGACGGGAGATCCAGACAGGAACGGGAGATAGAGAGAGGAACGGGAGATATAGAGAGCAATGGGAGATACAGAGAGGAATGGGAGATACAGAGAGGAACGGGAGAGAGGGATGGGAGATCTAGAGAGGAACGGGAGATCCAGAGAGGAACGGGAGATTCAGAGATGGATGTGAGATCCAGAAAGGAACGGGAGAGAGGGACGGTAGATCCAGAGTGGAACGGGAGATACAGAGAGGAACGGGCGATCCAGAGAGGAACGGGAGATCCAGAGAGGAACGGGAGATCCAGAGAGGAATGGGAGAGAGGGACGGGAGATCCAGAGAGGGACGGGAGATCCAGACAGGAACGGGAGATAGAGAGAGGAACGGGAGATATAGAGAGCAATGGGAGATACAGAGAGGAATGGGAGATACAGAGAGGAACGGGAGAGAGGGATGGGAGATCTAGAGAGGAACGGGAGATCCAGAGAGGAACGGGAGATTCAGAGATGGATGTGAGATCCAGAAAGGAACGGGAGAGAGGGACGGTAGATCCAGAGTGGAACGGGAGATACAGAGAGGAACGGGAGATCCAGAGAGGAACGGGAGATCCAGAGAGCAACGGGAGATACAGAGAAGAACGGGAGATCCAGAGAGGGACGGGAAATACAGAGAGAGAAAGCGAGAGATGGAGGAGAGAAAAAAGTTGAATGACATTCATGTCCCCTTTTTGATTGCCATCCCCTCTCTCTGGCATAGTAATGTCCATTAGACTATTTATGAGGCCTAATATCTATTTTATATCACAACTATTGATTACATTGTGATGGGACGAACAGCACTCAGTGCTATTGATTTGCTTCTGGCTAAAATGGAACTCAACCTCTCTCTCTCTCTCTCTCTCTCTCTCTCTCTCTCTCTCTCTCTCTCTCTCTCTCTCTCTCTCTCTCTCTCTCTCTCTCTCTCTCTCTCTCTCTCTCTCTCTCTCTCTAATTTCAATTTAAGGGCTTTATTGGCATGGGAAACGTGTGTTAACATTGCCAAAGCAAGTGAAGTAGATAGTAAACAAAAGTGAAATAAACAATAAATATTAACAGTAGACATTACACTTTCTCTCTCTCTCTCTCTCTGAATTAAATTCAAAGGGCTTTATTGGCACGAGAAACATATGTTTACATTGTTGACATCTCTCTCTCTCTCTCTCGCTCTCATTCTTTAGAGGGGGAGAGAAAGAGAAAATGTAACATGCATGACTTCCCCAGTGACATCCACAGTGACTTCCCCCTGTGACTTCCCCAGTGACATCATGGATCCACTCCCATAACACTTAATATTCCAAGGTAATTCCCCCTCTCCATATTCCATATGGATAAGGGATGAGGTAGAACAGAGAGGAGGTAGAGAAAAAAATATAACATCTTCAGATTGTCTCTGCTAGAAACCACTGTGTGAGCTCCCGACCCCATGGCAACAGATGGGGCAGAACGGAACAGTGAGGAGGACTCACTGAGGCAACGTTTCTCCCACAATCCACTGCAAGGTGAGATCGGGGAGGAGCCCAGAGCGGACAAAGTGCAGGCGGCTGCCTCGGTCAATCGGCCAATCAGAGTGACCGCAGCGAGCGCGCTTACTACAGCCCTGACACCGGCACAAGCAGAGAACATCTATTGTAAGAAGGATTAACTAAAAAAACAACAACGCTGTGATGGAGTAAAGAAAGGGGGGGAGAGAGAGAGGGGGGGGATGAAGAGAGAAGGAGAGAGGCACAAAGGATAAAAGGGAGAAATGCGAACAGACAAGGGCAGAGAGAGAGAGAGAGAGAGAGAGAGAGACAGAGAGAGAGAGAGACAGAGAGAGAGAGAGAGAGAGAGAGAGAGAGAGAGAGAGAGAGAGAGAGAGAGAGAGAGAGAGAGAGAGAGACTGAATGGGGCTGGCATCGCCCCTCTGTTTCCTAGCTTATGTGTCCTTGTCAGGAGATCTATGCTAGGCTGCTTATATACACATACACACACACCCCTGCCAATACTGCGAAACACACCCAACCCCCCACCCTCCCCCAACATATAGAAACACACAGTCCACTCAGCATTCAGAGCATCCCCCAAAGACGCACACAGACAGTGGATCCTTTTCATATCAACAAGGAGACTAGCTGCCCCCCCCCCCAACACACACACACACACCCTACCGTGCACAGCTGGGGGCAGGTGTGCTCGAGCTCCTCCATGTTTCCCCTAAAGGCTCATGGGATACAGCGGCTGCACCCCCTGTCTGTGACTCAGCATCAGTGAGATGATGCCTCTCTCGCTCTATTTCTCTCTCTCCCACCCCCTCTCTCTCTATTTCTCTCTACCTCCCTCTCTCGTCACTTCTCCTTGTATCCCCGCCCACTCTGCCCTACTCTCTCTCCTCTCTCCCTCCTTATACTCTCCCTCTCTCTTCCCTCTCCTCCTCCCTTTGGCAGAGTGATCCCTCGCTCACAGACCAGCAGCCAAGCACCACCAAACTCTCGCCATGGCGATGACAAAGAGGAGAGAGAGAGCTCCAATCAATGCACAGCTCTCACTGTCTCATTTGCATGGGTGACATGGATTGGCTGAGCTGGCTAGGACCATCAGTGAAGGATAGCAGTGAGCGTTAGTGTCTTGGAGGCTATTTCTCAATAGTCTACAGTAGCTCTCCTCTCCTCTGAAAACACATTATAGGTGAAACTAACCATGACACATACATGCACACTAATGAGGTTGCTTTCATATACCCAGTTCTTCCACATTAGCACAGATGAAGGGAAACCTCTTTAGAATAAACTATTGAGACACCACTATGTGTTCAAAGGTTGGAATGGTTCCTCCCTGTGCTGTGTCCCAACAGTCTTAATCAGCTCCTGTTTCTTGTCACCTTTCCTCCTTGACCACATCAGGATAGGTGACAGCAGGAGGCTGTTATAGTGGTAGACACCTATCCAGTGCTTTTGGGGATCAGTTGTTATGAGAGAAAACAAGCGGAGAGGACAGGAGAGGAGACCGTTTAAGAATATACGGAGAACATTATACTGTTTCCTACTGAATTACAATGATATACAGTACAGAGCAGGAACCTATAGAGAACTTTAACTTTATTCTATTCCTATGAACCAGCAGGAACAGGGCATGGAAGTGGATCTTGCTGAACTTTACATTTCTCTCCTCTCTCTCCATCTCTCTATCTTTACTTCTCTCTCCTCTCTCTATCTTTACTTGTCTCTCCCCTGGACGTTCTCTCACTTTCTTTCTTTCTTTCTTTCTTTCTTTCTTTCTTTCTTTCTACCACTTTATATAAGAGTCTCTCTGACTCCACATCTGTCTTTCTTTAAATAGCTCTACAAGAACATAAATGGCACTGTTGCATAGTCAGAGAGAGACAACTGTGGTTGAATTTCATGATCCATGCTTGCTTACCTTACTACAGCCACAAAAGTAATCTGGGAAAAAGTAGGCCTACTTGATACTTCATTTTTTTAAACATGATTGACATCTTAATGCTTGAACCAGCAAACACAATTAAAGGATAGCCCAATTCCACTATGTCCTGTGCCATAAAGGTCCAGACCTCTTGGCTGATGTCATAGTACAGGTATAGGTTACAAGTATACCATTGTTGGTTGGCTGACTTACCGTCCCTGCTCCTCTCCTCCGTCCGGACGCAGCAGGTGCACCAGGAGCACCTGCGTAATCGTGCGTTCCATTGCTTGTCCGCCCAACCATGATTAGAGACGCGTATCTGTCTGTCAACCGTTGATTGTGTAAAAACGGTCCTGGCTTTTCCCTTCCCTCGTTCCAACCGTCACCAACAGGCATCGAGACACGGACACTCAGACACACAGCGCGCGAGTGTAGCCGAGTGAGGCGTGCACTTCCGTTTTTAAAAACCGCCGGTCGGGGTCGGCATTGCATGCATGACCGAACACACATGCATGACCGATCACACCGTGGGCCAGCGGGGCACATAGTTCCCCAACTACAGGTATGTCCAATTGGTGGGTCTTGTTCTGCGGCCAAGTGGGCTGAATGAACGAGTAGCTAGCTATGTGTCCAGGTTACTAAAGTTGCGGCCACATTTGGTCTCTTGAAACAAAATTAGCATGCCCTGATTATCTTGAAACAAACCTCTCACGCCCTAAATATCCAAACTCTCAAGTAGACTAGACAAAAATACGTCACACATCGGCTCTCTGACAATCTGTTGTCTCTCAGTCTAGCCTACATAAGCCTAGTTCAAGCATTCATTGTGTACACTGAAGAAGGCACTACACTGTGTGCCCAAAGTTGATGTTTTATAGGAGCAGTGTGCTATAGGGTACTATTTTCTCAAGCTCAGATGGCCAGAAAGTGGCGTCCTGGACTCAGTTCTACAGAATATGCCTAGGCCTATCACACGTTTACAACGTTGTCTGTGTTAATTCCTTTAATAATACAAAAACTAGAACAAAACTGAATAGTAGAGACTCCCACTTGTATGGGCTACAATGGATCTTTTGTAGGACTGATGTTTGAACGCACTGTAGAGCCACTGTGTCTGCGTGTCCCACAAGCCCGAGCGCGCTTTCATCCTCCAAATCTGGGACAGGAGAATATTTTGTGCGCGCCCCAGAGTCCCGCCAGGGTCACCATGGAAACAAGCGTCATTGCGATAAAAAGGCGACACTTTCTGCAGTCAAAGCATCTTTAGATAGGCCTCGCCTCTCTTCAGAGAAATGTGCCCTAACTTGTCAAAAGAGAGGTGGGAGATACGGGTCATGGACGGAGGTTGGACTGTGTGTGTGTGTGTGTGTGTGTGTGTGTGTGAGTGAGTGAGTGAGTGAGTGAGAGAGAGAGAGAGAGAGAGAGAGAGAGAGAGAGAGAGCGAGAGCGAGAGCGAGAGAGAGAGAGAGAGAGAGAGAGAGAGAGAACAAACCAAATTTTGATCCACTCCCTTATCTACTGGGTGAAAAACCACAGTATGCCATCACAGCAGCATGATTTGTGACCTGTTGCCACAAGAAAAGGGCAACCAGTGAAGAACAAACACCATTGTAAATACAACCCATTTATGTTTATTTTCCCATTTGTACTTTAACTATTTGCACATTGTTACAACACTGTATATATACATAATATGACATTTGAAATGTCTTTATTCTTTTGGAACTTCTGAGTGTAATCTTTACTGTTAATATTTATTGTTTATTTCACTTTTGTTTACTATCTACTTCACTTGCTTTGGCAATGTTAACATACGTTTCCCATGCCAATAATGCCCTTAAATTGAAATTGAGAGAGAGAGAGAGAGAGAGAGCGAAAGAGAGACATTATTGGCATCATGGGGCCGAGAGAACGAGTGTTCTTGATGAAGCAAGCAATAAACAAACTTTAACTCACCATCACCAAAATTCCTTACAGTCCAGACCCCAGACTAATAAAAGTGATGAAGACATTGTAAATTGCATTTAAAGTTTACTAGGTTGTAGCTTACTGTAGGCCTACTGTAGTAGCCTACATCGACGATGAAACGACATTGCCATCAAGCGGACACTGGACAACACACATTGTCATACCAAGCGCCAAGCCAAAGATGATGTATTGACAAAATAGTCGAGTGATCTCTCTAACAACGGAAATACATGTCCTCAAAGATGGAACGCAGACGGGTGGAGGCGAGACCAGGTGGGACCACTCTAGCTAATGAGAGGGCAGATATGCGTGTGAACAACAGGCACAACTCCGATATAAAGTCGTATTTTTTTTAATTGCCGAAATGCCACGTGAGTCCACTTATATCAGTGCATTCTTAACAACCTAACCATTACGGAACTTCTATTTGATCAAATAAACCTCACGTAGCAAATTAGCAATTAAATTTTTTGTTGACCAAATTCTACACTCTCTCATTGACCTCCATACAACACTTTTCAATTCGTGGTTTTATTTTTGTGGACAGATTTTGGGCGGAGTAAACCCTCTCGCTTCGCCTCTTCCTCTCCAGCCATGCTTCGAAAACCCCAGCGATTGGCTGCTTTCCTTCTGCGTCATTTCCTGCATATGACTTTCATCTGGATGGAAATTTGGCGAGGAAACTTCTGTTGTATTGAGCTGTGTACCAAGAGAGAGCTGAAGGTTGTCAATACATTTGGAATAAATGTACCAAGAGAGAGCTGAAGGTTGTCAATACATTTGGAATAAATGTACCAAGAGAGAGCCGAAGGTTGTCAATACATTTGGAATAAATGTACCAAGAGAGAGCTGAAGGTTGTCAATACATTTGGAATAAATGTACCAAGAGAGAGCTGAAGGTTGTCAATACATTTGGAATAAATGTACCAAGAGAGAGCCGAAGGTTGTCAATACATTTGGAATAAATGTACCAAGAGAGAGCTGAAGGTTGTCAATACATTTTGAATAAATAGCACAGAGAAGGACATGGACAATCCGGGCGGCAGTGAGTCTGAATGGAAAGTTGACTGCAAACAAACAATCAAGCAAGTTAGCAAGCTAGACAAGAGTGAACATGCAAACACCGCTTAGCAAGGAAGCTCAAGCTGTCAGCTAACGTTAACGACAGTACAGTTGCTCGCACTAAGAACAAAGCAACTACTAGCCAGTTAACGTTAGCTAGCTAGTTCGTTATTATTATTATTATTATATTCCCCCCCCCCCCCCCCAGAATCACTAGCTTTAGCTACATTACATTAACACTGAACGTTCGTAATATGAATAATGACCAACCGTTAGCTGGCTAGCTACTTTGTGATGTTGACATTTTAGAAAGTTGGTTGCAATTTCAATTTAATCCTCCAGAAACGACAGAAGCCCTCCTGTTCTCCACTCATTACCTGTATTAACTGCACCTGTTTGAACTCGTTACCTGTATAGAAGACACCTGTCCACACACTCAATCAAACAGACTCCAATCTCTCCACAATGGCCAAGACCAGAGAGCTGTGTAAGGACATCAGGGATAAAATTGTAGACCTGCACAAGGCTGGGATGGGCTACAGGACAATAGGCAAGCAGCTTGGTGAGAAGGCAACAACTGTTGGCGCAATTATTAGAAAATGGAAGAAGTTCAAGATGATGGTCAATCACCCTCAGTCTGGGGCTCCATGCAAGATCTCACCTCGTGGGGCATCAATGATCATGAGGAAGGTGAGGGATCAGCCCAGAACTACACGGCAGGACCTGGTCAATGACCTGAAGAGAGCTGGGACCACAGTCTCAAAGAAAAGCATTAGTAACAGACTACGCCGTCATGGATTTTAAATCCTGCAGCGCACGCAAGGTCCCCCTGCTCAAGCCAGCGCATGTCTAGGCCCGTCTGAAGTTTGCCAATGACCATCTGGATGATCCAGAGGAGGAATGGGAGAAGGTCATGTGGTCTGATGAGACAAAAATATAGCTTTTTGGTCTAAACTCCACTCGCCGTGTTTGGAGGAAAAAGAAGGATGAGTACAACCCCAAGAACACCATCACAACCGTGAAGCATGGAGGTGGAAACATCATTCTTTGGGGATGCTTTTCTGCAAAGGGGACAGGACGACTGCACCGTATTGAGGGGAGGATGGATGGGGCCATGTATCGCGAGATCTTGGCCAACAACCTCCTTCCCTCAGTAAGAGCATTGAAGATGGGTCGTGGCTGGGTCTTCCAGCATGACAACGACCCGAAACACACAGCCAGGGCAACTAAGGAGTGGCTCCATAAGAAGCATCTCAAGGTCCTGGAGTGGCCTAGCCAGTCTCCAGACCTGAACCCAATAGAACATCTTTGGAGGGAGCTGAAAGTCTGTATTGCCCAGCGACAGCCCCGAAACCTGAAGGATCTGGAGAAGGTCTGTATGGAGGAGTGGGCCAAAATCCCTGCTGCAGTGTGTGCAAACCTGGTCAAGACCTACAGGAAACGTATGATCTCTGTAATTGCAAACAAAGGTTTCTGTACCAAATATTAAGTTCTGCTTTTCTGATGTATCAAATACTTATGTCATGCAATAAAATGCAAATTCATTACTTAAAAATCATACAATGTGATTTTCTGGATTTTTGTTTTAGATTCCGTCACTCACAGTTGAAGTGTACCTATGATAAAAATTACCGACCTCTACATGCTTTGTAAGTAGGCAAACCTGCAAAATCGGCAGTGTATCAAAGACTTGTTCTCCCCACTGTATATATATTTTTTACTTTCTCAAATCATCAATAGCCTGTAGTCACATCATGCAGCCCATATATGTTTTGATTTCTAAGAAATTCTAAGATTTGATCATTGACAACTTAAGTTGCCAAATAACTATCTATCGTATAGGACCTGTTTCAAATGATCACTTTTACGCTCAACATAGTCACTTCATATGCGCACTCCCACCGGAATGGAATATATTTTCTATTTTATTCAGCTAAGTTAAATTATATTCTACTTACTAAAAAATCATATAATATAAAAGAATGCCATGTGATTCTAAGCATATCTTGTCAGCTAAATGAACAAGCCTATAGCCAATTGCATGGAGCATAGTCAGGTAACATACAGTCGGCCAACTCACATTCTGTTCTTCTGAAATACATTTTCTTCATATCATGTTTCTTTAGACCTGCATAAAATAATGGATTTATTGTGATGGTGTATATAACAATTATTTATTATACTTTTTAAAATGTAGATGTTCCAAAGGCGTGCATCAGCGTCTTGGACTGTATGCAGCTTGTAGTCTATGCGTGGAGGCCTGGAGATGCGAA